ATCGTTATGTTTTATGATTGACATTATGCCGAACGTCAAAGGTGTTGCGGATTTATATGCACGCCGACAAACAGGCGCAATTCAGGCATTGTCTCAAGAGACCTTTAGACAAGAAAACTTCTATGAAGGTCAAGGTCTTTTGGCAAGATACTAATGGTCAGAAACTGGGAAGGGGTACACCCCACCGATGTTCAAGTGTATGAACAGAGAGTTGAAGGTGTGGAGCAATTCTGCTACTTCGAGAATTTGCGAAATTTGCAAGACATTGCAGACCCAGACATTTCGTCGTCCCAGTTTCGCCGACTCGACCATTAACGCTGCATCATGCGTCTGGTTTTAGAGCTCCTTGCCGAAGCGTACCAGCAAAGAAAGAATGAAAGAAAGAAAGAAAGCGGCTCTACTCTACCCAATTTGCATTTTGCTGATACTGATGGTAAAGCCGAGACATGAACACTGCAAACGATGAATGTTTGTACCCTTCAATCTTTCTACGTGAGAATGAAATAGCCGTTCCTGAACATCAGGGGGCAGAAAATTTTCAAAATTGCAGCTGTCACCAACTCCCGGGACTACGCTCAGTCACTGATTTAATCGAATATCACAGAACAGCAATGTTCGTTCGTGTAACGAGGCTTTTAACATGAGGTTCTTACACACAGGTTCTTGGCAATGGCAATCAGCTGCAGCAGCAGTCGATTCTCGCCTCTGTCGACACGGCGGCAAACTAGAGGCAAACCAAAGTACACTTGGACAGAATATGTTGCCTGAGTAGGCCTACCGACTACAGAATAGTTCAGCACCGCCATCGTCAAAGGCCATAGTTTGTTGGCGCAAAAGCCTTAACATCGACCATTCGCAGACCAGTGATTCTGAACATGACTGAATTCTCACTTTACGTATCTAACTTCAAAACATATTACGTGCTAATAAAAATTAAAGTCCATTCGTTTCTGGGCATTCTAGGCAAAATGTGTTTCAACTCTGTTAAACGAAATCGTAGACTTAGCAGCAAATAAATGTGAGAGCAAATAACATACATGGCTCTGAGGAAAGCAAGGTATTTAGAAACGTTTATGCAGATGAAAAGCGTAATTCTGCTTTTGATGAGTACCGATTCATCTTTGAAGGCGACCGTGTTTCTCGCAATATTCAGTTACGGTTTACTGCTCGAACATGCACACTCACATGCAATGACAACGTTGTACTAACTTTTAATATTTTAGAATTTATCTCATCTGGACTTCAGCATCAGTGCATTGCGACAGTCTACGGCCATTTTCCCTTGACTTCAGTCAATCCAAGAATATTCCTTAAGTACATAAATCTCTCCTGGCGGTATGCATGGCTTGACCGATATTGCTAGTGAACGCTCCCTTCATCAGATATTTTTGCTGTTCAACTGGCCTCCAGGTATCATAAAAGATACCATTCACTTCACACAGATTTAATTGTGCTACTGAATTCCGCTACACGAGCAACTTCATGGTTTCAAAAACAAGGACTGAGCTGTAGAGAAAATCAGCAGTATGTCGTTTAACCATGTCTTCATAAATTCTCCTACCTTTAAGTGCCATCTCTTGCTTCCTACAGAATTTTGTTATAATTCTACTGTCGTTGTGTGCTGTGCGTATACAGACGCTGAAAGCAGAGTCCTCTTCTACTGCATTAATAAATGATGCATAGTGTATAAAACTTAATCTATACCTACATTCCGATATAATGACATAAAAACAGCAGACGGATTAAGAGAAAACAGCATGATGCCATCGTCATAGTTAAGCTGTATGAATTAGCATAGACCATTTTAGGCTGCCGGCAGGACAGCTGTTCGTAAAAAAATCCGGTATCTGTCCACTATATGATACTATGCTATATGCTATGCTATGGATGTCAGTACGCTACCATGCTTGATAACCGTTGTTGTGGGCAGGTTGGCAAACCTTTCTTTACGATGCGAATTATGGGTATATATATAATCAATCCGTAGTGCAAGGCAGGCAGAATCAACAATCGTAATTTCTTGCAGCTTCTTCTAATAGATACTCCTAGAGCAGTAGTTAAAACGTTATAATGGATACTGATGGAAAGTCTTCGTTAAAGACAGGAATTATAAGAAAGACTTTGAAATGAAAATATTTTCAAAGTGTCCAGTGGTGTTTGTTATAGGAATTCGCATTGTAAATAGAATCTTTTGTGGTCAAGATTCATACGTATGATTTACTAACAGATTATGTGGAAAGTAGTCATAGTAGGACAGTAGGAAAAGATTGTTCCATTGCGGGTGTGCGAAAGGGCCCGAAAGCTTCGAATGAGTTACTCGATACCTGATTTTATTAAACAATTATTGTGTCTGCGTTAAAGCTGCAAAGCTTAGTGATATGATGCGACTTGAAATCAGTCCCATTCATTTCCTTCATTTTGAACTACTTCAGTTGTTCCTCTTGACTCACTTCATTGAGCTGTATGACATAGAGGCTGAAATTCATGACATTATAATTCTTCAGATCAGTGACGCGGAAATAAAATTCAAAGTTAGAAATTCCAAAAAAGTTTCACTGATAACGTTAACAGATTATTGGAGAGCAATAAACCCACCAATTGAAATTAGCAGACACAGTCTGTAGTGTCAGGCTCTTGGAAAGAAGCTACATAAATGGCTTTTGGAAAGAAACTCTTCTACTAGGAATTCATTCTGTCGTATGGCTAGAGTAGATTCTTTACGAGTGAATTAAATATAAATTTCATATTGTTTTATAGGTTTTAACGAGTAAGAATTTTTACTCATCTTAAGAAGATAGAGGTTTAGATTAATGTTGCCAAAATTTATAGAAAGAAAGGCTATTAAGTGACTAGTTGCTCGCGCGCCCGCCTGAAAACCTTGAGGAACACCAAGAATGACTTGTAAAGTGACTCGACGGACCTTCCTCCAGACTCGGATATTCTTTTGCCAAAGCTCAGGCACTGGCAGAGGATCATTAGCGTTCGCGACACGGTTGCCTGAGCGACCATCGAAACGGAGCTCAATGTAGGTTAGGAAGCTTACTTAAAGCCAACCCATCATCCACGAGCCACGGCTAAGCAAGTTGACAATTGATTAGACCGAAAGTTTCCCCTCTTCTGAAAAATCACGGGGTTCTTGCTAGTTCAGATATTATAAGGCAGACAACTTTACTAAATAAGACAAACGTCGTATACCCCTATTGCAGCAGTTGTTGTCGTCGTCTTCAAGACAGTTGCAGCCTACCGGCTCTGTCTATCAAGATTGATGATGTCTGGAATTCATCAAGGAAGTCTTTAAATTACTTTAAACATTAGCCGCTTATAGCCTTGCCGTTAATCAAATATCACAT